TTTATTATTTTGTTCTATATTACCCAATAGCTGAAGGTCGCCAAGGAGTTTATAGCAGATGATTAAAACAAGCCAATTGTAACATCTAAAACAATAGACTTGACACAGACACTGGGTGCCATTAAATATCTTCGTATGTCTTCATGTGCCTTGACACTGACAGCTTTTTAACCAGGCACCAAAAGGATGACAAAGCTGGCACCAGGCAGGCCTCACTGGGGAGATCATGCCAAGGGGAGGCACTGCTCCCTGGCTGCCATCCAAGAAGCCTTTTTCAAAGCTGGCACACAGAGGAAGGCTCCGAGGTTGAATCTTGTGCCCTGGTAGATCATGGTTGGGGGAGGCAGTCCATTAACTGAGGAGGAGGCTGGCAAAAATGGGTGGGTTCCTCACCCTTTTCCGACATTCCTTTTCCTCCTAAAAATGCCCCACTGCAGCTTTTTGCCCAAAAAACCACACTAGCGTTTGATTTTTAAAAAACTCAATAAAACATAACAAACAGCAGAAAAAATAGTATGTACCTTGTCTAGCGAGGCCCTAATTGTTAAGTCACATAAATAGCCAACAGTCCCCATATTATCCACGACCCAGCAGGATGGGGAGCTGCTCGTGGGAAAGTTTCTTGTTATCTCCAATCTCTGCCATCCCCAAACCCTTAGCAGCCCCCCGCCCAGGGACAGGGTTAAGTGAGAGCAACCGGTTCGGAGGGAGTAAGGCGCCCACCATGGGAACTCCAGCCAAGACTCCAGGAGTTGCCTGGCCATTCATTAATGGCTATGCTTGCCGTATCATGTGACATTTCAAAGAGTAAAGGGGAGGATGGAAGGAAAGGCAGATGTGGTTGTGTCTCTCAGATGCCTCTCCATCCCAATACCGAATCAAGGCTGGAGAAAGCCACTATGCAAGCCTGCAAAACTTGCAACTCAACCCAGCAGCCGGATGCTGTGGCTGCCACATATTTGGAGACCGTCCCCTTCCCAAGGGCCCAAGCTGGCCACAATATATCGATGACAAGCCATGTTCAAGCTTAGGGGGTCACCAAGTCACACACCCCACAGCAAAGCCTCTTCCACATGCAGTGCCTCTTGGACCAACTAGCACCCTCCATAACACATCCTGCCAGATGGAAGAAGCAAGGCGAATCACATTCTGTGAAGAAGCCTATGGGTCAGCCAGCAGCCGCAACTGAGCCACTCCGAAGCCTACAGGTCACCAGCAGCCGCAACTGAGCCACTCCAAAGCCTACGGGTCACCAGCAGCCGCAACTGAGCCACTCCGAAGCCTACGGGTCACCAGCAGCCGCAACTGAGCCACTCCGAAGCCTACGGGTCAGCCAGCAGCAGCAACTGAGCCGCTCCGAAGCCTACGGGTCAGCCAGCAGCAGCAACTGAGCCGCTCCGAAGCCTACGGGTCATCCAGCAGCCGCAACTGAGCCACTCCGTAAGTATAAGCAGAGAGAGGGCATGACTTAACCAGAACTACCTCTTGACCATCTGCAAGACCACAGTTCAGAGGCCAAGCACCTGCACCGCTTGCAAAAGGAGCCAGGCATAATCCCTGGCACCTCCAGTGTAAAAGATCAGGTTGCAGGTCACAAGGCCCTGAACCTGAGATCCTGGCACCTGGCTGCTACTGGCAAAGGGCTGGATGTGCTACTGGGGGTGGGCAACACTGAACTGGGTGTCAGGGTGGATTTGATTTAAATCATTAGTCCATAAGACTGGATTTAAATCATGGTTTTCTACCTAATCTGTCTGCATGCATGCCTTACCCATAGGTAGTGGAACATCATTAAAATATTCCCCAAACAGGTCTCTTTTATAGCCTGCTGCCATTATAGGTTTCATCCTCCAGGGGAAGAATACAGTGGTACCTTGGCTCATGAACTTGATCCATTCCAGGACTCTGGTCGAGATCCAAAATGGTCGTGAGCCAAGTTAAATTTCCCCATAAGGTCCAATGTAAATAAGGTTAATCCGTTCTGTAACTGTTTTTTTTAATCAGAAAAATGTGAAGCAAAGTGACAAAGAACAACAAAGATCACGGCCATCTCCCCCACCCCCCCGAGCACAAGCACGGCCATCTCCCCGCCCCCCGCACCAGTACGACCGAGATCGCACCTGTCATCCCTGCACACACCCGTCACTCCGGCACATGGGTGGGGAGAGAGACGGGCGCAATCACGGGTGCACTGGGGAACAGAGAGACGGGCATGAACAGGGAGCGCTGGGGGAGGGAGAGACGGGCACGATCTCGGCCATTCCCCCCCCACCCCCAGCACGATTGCGGCCATCTCCCCACTCGGCCGTGATCATGCTGGTTAGAGGGGGTGAGATGGCCAAGATTGCGCCCGTCTTTCCTGCAGGAGTGTGCCCGTGATCACGCACGTCTTCCCTGCACGAACGCAGCTGCGATCCTGGCCACATCCCCACTCTGGGGGAGGGGAGAGGGCTGCGATCCTGGTCGCCGCCCAATGCAGAGTTCACGACCCACGTCAAAATTTTCATGAAATTTTTGTTCACAACCCGATTTGGTCATGAGCCAAGACGTTCGTGAACTGTGGTGCCACTGTAATATGGTAAACCTCAGGGTATACACAAAAAGAATCCAAAGACTTGTGGAGTATTCTTCTCAAAGGGTTTCATTTTCCTTTTTGCTACCTGCCCCTCCCTCCTCACACTTAGCTTCTAGTGCAGATCTATTCCGCTCCCAACAATCTTCTTCTAGTCATTGATTTTTTTCTGTAATCTGACTAATTAAAGGAGAATGTAAGTTAAATAAATAAATAATAAACATAGACTGAGCTAAGAGGTTGATTCTGTGTACATAGTTTTGTAAAGGAACAACGGGATTAAGGTCTTTTTCTCAACCCTGTATATTTATTTTATAACATTTTGCTGTGAGGAAGAGGAACATCTGCAGACACAAATTCACTTTTGAGAACTGTAAAGCCAAGCACCTGCAATAATATCTTCTAAACAGAAAAACTGCCCAATAATCATACAGAAACCTCTGGAAGAAAATGACAGAATTCATTTATGAAAAAAATTAAATAATACATGAATATATAGTCTCATGCTACATAATTAAAAACTAATACTTATTTCATGATGAATGATCTTTGGACCAAAATATATCTTAAATAAATAACTATCTTTAGGTAGATTTTTCCCAAAAAGCATTTTATTTAAAAAAAAAACCAATTTGAATCAAAAATCCAATTTAAATTGTAAAAATCTGATTGTTTTGATTAAAAATGACTTTTATCCGCCCTGCTAGGTGTAACACGGAGTCTCGGTGGCTTACATGAATCCAGTGCCATGCAAAGGTGATTCCACTGTCAGGTGCTTCAGGTGTACTGATGTTCTCAGCTGCCCAGCCGGAGGGTGGCGGAGGGAGATGGAAGGAGGCTGGGGCACCATTTGGATAAGATGTAAGCCACCAGCTCAAACCTCCTCCCTTGCGCCCCCAGCACACCGCTTGGCCTTCTCGCAGAGGCAGATTTCTAACCTTGGAGAGACAATTTCTCTTCCTGCAGGTTGCAAAGGAGGCAGTCCCAATTCTGCTCTTGGTAGAATTATTTAGAGTCCTAGCTCTGAGGACTTCCAAGTCCCAAGCAATGTATGCAGGTTGCCCTCAAACATGTAGTGAGAAATTATATCCCGATGAGTCATGAACAGAAGACCAAGAGAGAAAGTAAATACCCATAAATTATCACATTTAATATGCATTTGCACATTTAAATAAACTTGTGGATGATATTTCATAATGGTGGTGACTCTAGAAGTCCCCTGTTGCAGCACACTGGATTTCCCCCTTTCCAGGTTCTACATGCGTACACACGTGTGTGGGCCTATGCACACGCGTGTGCTCAAGAGCGCAAGCAATGCATGTGCAGGCAACAAGATTCTCCTGACTTGGCTCCACGGTTCTTGCCAAAGCTGTCACAAAAGAATTTCCATGTCGAGAACGGCAGCACAGAGTCAAAATGCCGGTTCCTGAGTTTGAAACATTCACTTCCTGGCTTTTAGGGCTGAGTAAGGTCATTTCAGGCCAGGAGCTGGCACACTGAACAGCTCGCTCTAAGGGCTGGATGTGCAGAAATACACAGATTGCATCCAGAAGGCTCATTTTAAACTTTAGAGGAGCGATTGGCACTGGCTTTGCCCTGTGACCGAACCGCCCCTCGCGTTTGTAACTTGTCCAGCCGCTTTGTTTCACTCCTAACAGTGTGAAGGTTTCCCCCAATAATCTCCCACCTGTCTTAACCGTGCACGCATCGATTTCAACCGGTTTCCCTCCAGTTGGAGACTGTCCAGATGACTTTAAGGTATAACAAATAGCATAACACATCAACAGCAGCCTACAAGAAGGGGATCTGTCCCCATGGCAGAACTAATAATTTGAAAAAGGAGGCGAGTGAAAGATAAATTCACTGCTCTGAGCAGAAGGAAGAATCATCCCCCCTAAGGGAAAACCTGTTTGAGTCTTAATTGAGTCATTTAAGGACCAATTATTTCGTCGCAGCTTCACATCGAAGACACAGAAAATCACCATTCCTAAACATGGGCGAATAACATCTTCTCAGCGAGAGCCAAATCCCATTAGCATCCTACATCAGAGGAGGGCCTACAAATAAGCAATCCCAGTATTTATAGAGACCCTACAAGCTGCAGATAATCAAAACGCTGCTTTAAACAAGCAAGAAGTCAGTAGCTCCTATAATGATGATGACTACTAGCAGAGGTTGTAGTTTATGCGCTTACTCCAAACACACGAGAAACATCCTGAATTGTGCGTTTGTTAGGGCGGATTCCTTGACTTAGTTCCCACCTCATAAATACTATGTTCCAGAAGAGAGGCCAGGGGTGCGGTACAGAAGGAAGAGGTATAGAAGAGGAACACAGCCAGGAAGGAAATAAAAATAAATCTACTGAGATTATAAGGGGGAATCATAAGGCGTATAGATAGCAATGCCGGTAAAAGAAAGAAATCATTACCAGGGAAGGGCTGCCGCTGCCGCCGCCGCCGCCTCCAGCTCTTTGTTGTAAGGCTGGGCTTAAGTGATGCTAGGCTACAACCGCACGCTCTCCCCCACCAAAAGCTTCTTCCTCCTCCAGGCCACAGCAGTGAATGAAGCACGCAAGGCGGAGGCAGGGCGGGACACCTCAGGAGGCGGAGCTTCCCCTGGTGAGTAGCAACATGTCTTGGCCAATGAGAAGTAACCCGCTCGCCACCTGCAGCCAATGGGTCTGTGCCGCTCGCGTTTGGGGCTCTCGCCACGGAGAACGAATCTCTTAGGAAAGAGGCGATAGCGGGGGGGAGGGGGAGGTCTTTAAATATGCTAAGCGGTTGGCGGAAGCAGCCAATCGGTGTGCTCTCGTAAGAATCCGCGTCTTCAAAGGGACCGCGTGGGATGCAGGTGCGGGGACTGAGCCTGGTCGAGGGATGCTGCGGGAGCCCCGCGGGCAGAGGCGATGCTGGCTGGCAGCCTTCCCGGGCTCGACTCCCGAGTTTTTCCTCTGGAGCCCCGAATCTCTGGAAGGCCACCTGCCCACCCCGCCCTGCCGTGCAAGGGCACTTGCTGCAGCCGAGATCCAGGGGCTCTGGTCCTCCCTGTTGTCCCGGATCTCCCTGGGCTAGCGGGTTTTATGCCCACAGGTGCTCTTCTTCCTGCGGTGACCCCCTTGAATCCCTCTGCCTAAGGTACTGGGCTTTTTTCACCCCCTAAAATCCAGTGCACTCAACGAAGGCACACTTTCCAGTAATAGGATGCTGCTTGAGACAGCTGGCCGGAGATGTGGAAAAGCAGGTCTTTGTTTATCATTTAATTGATTAGTTTTTAATTGCATTTTCAGTCCCAGCGAAGCAGATGAGTGTTTGCAGGATTTTCTGCCTCAGAAGGCTAAAGGACCTGACTGGCTTTGCCTCCTGCAACCCATAGAGACCAGTGGGGTGGCGAAAGGTAGCTGAGATGGTACAGGGAATTGTGTGCGGCAGAGAAACAACTGGGAGTGGAGAGAGCGCGAGCTGTGAGTAGGCAAAGACGTTCAAAGGATTAGAAGGACATACACTGAAGCTGAAGCTCAAATACTTTGGCCACCTAGTAAGAAGGAAGGTCTCATTGGAGAAGACCCTGATGCTGCGACCAATTGAGGACAAAAGAAGGGGATGGCAGAGGATGAGCTGGCTGGATGGGGTCACTGGGGAGAAGGGTGTGGGGTTGGATGGACTCTGGGGGATGGTGGAGGACAGGAGAGCCTGGAGGAATGTTGTCCATGGGGTTGCGAAGAGTTGGATGCAACTTTGCGACTGAACAACAAAGTGTATGTAGAATTGGAATCTTGCTTCTTAGTGAGTGTGTTCAGAAGGGCAACCTGCCTCCTTCACATGGATGGTAGTTCCAGTGTCTGGATTTAAAGAGAATGTGGAGACTTGTAAATTTGGTAACTTAAAAAATAAACAACCCAAAGCAAAGGTAGCCATGCTGGCCCACGAGAAATAAAAACAAAAATCCACAGTTGGCCAATACCTGTATTATGAATTTTGGTTGGCTGTAATAAAAGTATCCAACTATGCATTTTGGGGTGTTCAAGGCACAGTTCTGCTTAAAACTTGGAGGATTACAGGCATCCTATGCATGGTGGGCCTGGGGAGGAAGGAGGGGATGGCCCCCCTTTGCATTTCTCCCACCATGCTGGGCACTGAGATGGTCCGGAAGTTCTGCTGGGAGGCAAGCAGAAAGGAGCCTGAGGCTCTGCTAGGACACACCGTGTGCTGCCAAAGCCTGTCTCCTTCCAGCTCCCCAAAGACACATCCAGCAGAAAGGGTGTAGTGGAGAGGGCCCTTGGAGGTGTTGGAGCACCCCCAATTATTTTGGAGGGGCCCTTGGGAGGTGTCGCTGAAACCAGGGTCAATGTTCGTTCCCCTCCACCTCACAAGGAACTTAATTTTGCTGGTTTCGTTGGGGAAATAATGACTACAGTAGAATAAAAGCATTGTAAGTGGAGTATATTCACTGGAATCAATGGGAAAAATTATCCATGACTTCTCAATAGCCTTAAGTTCTTCTTACTTCAGTTAGGCTATTTAGTGTGGATTTAATGTGGGTTTAATGAGGATCCTGCAAGACCACAATAAAAGATTAAGGGATATTTTGAGAAACTGGAACCCTTAAACTCTGGACTCAGAGGATCTCCCACATATACACACACACAAAGGCAGTGGTTGCAAAGGAAGAAGAAAATTAAAAGAAACCAAACAGTGATGCTTGATTCAGACTGCTGCTCTTGGAAGAAGAGAACAACGTATGTTTCTATAAGTGTGGGCAATTAGTGCCTGGGTTTCCTTTTTTCCTCTTCCCTCCCCATCCCTTTCTTCTTGAATGTCAAGTTTTTAGATACAAAGCCTGTGAGCAGGCACTGCCTTACTAATTCCACATAAGCCACTCAGAGTTTTTTGTCCAGAGAGCAGGATATGAATAAGAATAATAATTCATAATAAATAAGAAGTAACTTCTAGAAGCTGTCATTGTTTCACCTTGAAAAGGGATACCCTCATCATGTATTCATTACTCAACAGAAATTCAAACAAAGTGACCAAACTCATTTTTACTGTATAATCATAGGCGGCTCTCAAAAATAGGTGTGACTTGGTGGTGTGGCTTTGAGGTGTGGCTCTGACGAACATGAAGGGACTCCCCGCTTCTAAATTTATCACTACACTTCTTTCTGCTGCAGCTGCAAAGGAGCAGGGACCGTGTTTCAAGTTCAGAGGCCTAGGTCCAACCTTCGAGCAAATTTCCAAGGACACAGTTTGGACTCTGAAAAATCTTGTGGTCATATACTCTGTTTAGTCACCATAGAATTGCGCTGTAAGACTTGTGTGATGGTGAGCTTGCTGGAAGCTTTATATTGCACTATTTGATGTTGAAACTAGAACCTACCCACGAGACACATGTTCTAAAATCCCATAAACGACTTCCCTACATAGTAGCTCCTCTGGCATTTCTGGGAACCAGGAGCAGCAAAGGAATCTTCTCCAGTCCTACAGTTGGTGTCCGGTGCCCCTAGACGGCAGCCTAGCATAACCTGCAGTATATTCCCACGCTCTCCTTTGCTAGTTTGCTATGTTTAGTTTGAAGGTGCCGTGCAGTTTTTGTCCCTAGTGCTCCATCCTCTCCATCTGTTTTTGGGTATGAAAGATAAAGGAACAGTGTTCAGTTCATGGATGGTCATTTTTAAGAAAGCGCAATTTGGGGCCGTGCCTCAGCTATTTTAGGTATTTAACATCACCCTGGTGGTAGTGTATAAATTGATTTTTGATTGTCAAATGTAAGTGCTGAGCTCTATGTAATTTAATAAGGCAGATTTGATACAACAGCAGACATAATAAATATGTATTGCAAAAAGCCTATGTTGCACTTTAATTAAAACTCCTTCTTATCCTGAAATGACCATCCTAAGCCTTATTGTGAGCTGCGGTTTTAGTACGATGTTCTTCCTTTTATCTGCCCTGATATTGAAGTGAATGACTTCCATGTCCCTGAAATGCTTTAGATGATAGGCAAGCAGCTTTGCAGCTGTTAGAGAATGAAAATAGATTATTAGAGAGACATGGAAAAGCAAGACTTTCTCTTCTATTGCTCCCTCCCTCTGCATGCTGAAAATATAACTGAATATATTCCAGGAATTCATGGCCAGCTTCATTTTTATGGGGGAAAGCAGTGAGTTCGGCTGCCTTTATTTTCCTCAGAAAATACCTTTACTAGGAAGAGAAAAGAAGGGAGAAAAGAAAAGCAGGTGAGAAGAGGTCAAGGTTGGGAAATTTGGCATAGAAGCTAGCAAAGGTTTTCATGCATGGGAAACTTTTGTCCTGTGGGCAAAATCTGGCCCACCAAGCTGCCCCATCCAGCCTGCAAAGTCCCCCCTCAAGTCCAGAGTCCAGCCCCCATAATGTACAGAAAGTGGGGGGAAAGGAGTGCCAGATTAGGAAAGGGAAGTCTGATTCCCAGCAAGCCAGCACCCCAACGTACATTCTTCCTGGGGGTGCCTCTCTGGTTCTTCCCCACCCCTTTCTGTTCCCAGACAGAGATTAGACATGGGGCAGTGCCTTAATGTGCTACCCAAAAAGGAGAACTCATCATCAAAAAGTAAAGGACATTGATTTACATGCTCTTTGCATATACTAGTTTAAACAATAGCTGCATGTTCAGAATGTTTCTCATCTTTCAAACTGAAATGCAATCCATTTCACCCTAGTGGGAAAGACAGTGCTCAGGTTGCTTGTCTAGATGCGAATCGTGGATTGACAGCTTCAAGATCCCCAAACCCCTTTCTGTGGTGGCTTTTTGTTTACTCTTTAAGCCAGACTTGGACTGGATTTGAGAGCCCTTCAAACAGAGGAGCGTCCTTTGTAAAGTAGGGCATGGGGCTGCCTCAGGTCAACAGGTCTGAAGAAGCTCTGGGCTTGGAGAACATTAGAGCACTTGCCGCCTCTCCGGGATCTGTACCCCTTGCTGAGATGCGCACCCCTTTGCTCAGAAGTGAGGGGATCCCCTAAAGGAACGCAAGGATATTTCCACAACGTTCTTTGTTGGTGTCCCGTCCAGCTACTGCTCAGACCTCCTAAGTCTCATCAAGGTCACACAGGCTGTATCCCTATATATTGCAGGGGAACATCAGGCATGATGGTGCTTTCGGATGGACTGCTCCTAGGAGGGCTGGATGTCTCGTGAAGCAAGGTGAAGCCCCCAATTCAGGCAGCAAACTGAGCCATTCTCATCTTCACTCCAACCAGGATGGGCTGCAGTGGATGCTCCAAAGAGCCCTGCCAAACATACGCACACACCACAGCATTTGCCATTGTGGGAGAGAGAGACTGACAGGGCAGTCCAGGGCAAAATGGCCCCCATCCTCTGGTTCATGCTGAAAATCTGGACGTGCAGGCTCTCTGAGGATCCACATGGGCCAGAGAAGGCAGCCAAAGCAGCTCGTGAAACAGTTTATTTATTGTATTGATATCCCACCTTTCTCTCACTCTGGAATTCAGGGTGGCCACAAGCCGTTCCTGGGTATCTCCCCTCCATGCTCAGGCCAGCCCCAGCCCTGCTTAGCTTCAGTGTGGTGGATGTCTTCAGACCATACTCTGGGTCG